TTTCTCTTCCCTAGACTAAACAAATGCAGTTCTTTTGATCATTCCTCCTTAGGTCATATTTTCCAGACTTGCAGATCATTCTTACTGTCCTCTTGCAGACTTTACTGGGATGTATTTGAATTGAAGCCTTTTGCCCCGAACTGGAGCCAATGTTGTATGTTTCCTCTTGATGTGCTGACAGCAGTGTATTGTACGTACCCCAAGCAAAATACAGAACAGTTCTATTCATGTATTAGGACAGTTCTGCCTCCCTCTCAGACTGCACAGTGTTGGTTTAGGTACAGCTCATTGGTGAACCAACTCCGAATTGTTTTCTTCTCCTTGCAAAACTGCTGCCCTACCCTGTCTGTCCCCAGCCAGTAACTGCACTGGGTTATTCCTGAAGAAGCATGGGAACTTGCACTTGTTGCACCCTACTGAGCTTCCTGCACACACGCATTCCAGATCATCTCCTCACTTTGCTAAGTTCACTCTGAACTCCACCCCAAGCAATACAGTGCTTTGCTGCAAGTTTTGTCAGGATACTTTGCACTTCTATGACCTTACCATCCTGGTCAATCCCAAATTGCATCAGCCCTCGTACAGACTTCAGAGGAATCCCAAATCTACCTACCTTCTGTGGTTGATGACAACGCATAGACAACTACTTAAGTCAAGACATCTAATCAGTCTGCATCCCCTTCTTTTTATCAAGATCAAGTTTTCTTGGCTTGCTCACGCACCTGTTACATGAGACTATGTCCGAAGTCTCACCGCTACCAAGGTAACTAACATTCTTTGTTTCCTATAGCACCCATTACTACGATACAGATTAGTTTATTTCCACTTATTCTTGATAAATCCAGACAGGAACTTCCATTATTCCCTTAATGTCTTCCTACTGGTTGCTTAGGTGCCAAAGTCTAATTGACCAATAATAAATCTCGTGTCTTTGTTTTTTGGACAAGTTCTCCAAAATCCATACCTTACAGCTGTAGATTTCTCTTTCAGCCGAGGAAACACAACAGCAGCAAGATCTCATACAAACAATGCATTTGTTTCCACGCATCATCCATGTTTTGCCCTCACAGTGCATACATTTGAGAACAAACTTCACCACAGAGAGAAAAAATTCATAGATTTCAATTTCAGGGAAATAAAACCCAAGGCCATTCTACACCAATCAAGCACTCTAATTCTGCAGGGCCTAAAGAGTTAACAACTGTAAGCATAATTGGTTCCACCAACAGACATTCCCGGTATACTCACAAACCATGACAAGTTAAGGTCACTGAATTGTGCAAAGTTTCATTTTCAAGGTTTGTAGGATTGTTTCTTTTTGCAAACTAAAAATAACAGAGTTGGAATTTGTGGTCATGGTCAAACAGTGATAAAATTAAGAACAGATAAAGCCACAAAAACTTTTGAGATCTGCAAACTTGGTTTTCTTGAAGGAGGAGAAACAGTGCCATTTAATCAAAAGCACAAAGCTTCAAGTGTTCCTTACAGTGAACAGGGCAGCCAAGGCTCAAGGAGATCTGAAATCCAGTGCAGAAGACACTCAAGTACAGCCACAGAGAGGGAGAGATGGAAACAACTAGATAACATTCATTTGCTTAACAGCCTTTGTAACAAAAATACATCGCCTGCAATCACATACATTTTGAAATGCTAGTTCACAGTAACAAGGTTTAAGACAGCAGTAGCTGCTAGATTAGTTTTCAGCTCAATCACCACCAGCTGAAAATGCTCAGGCTCAGCAAGAGCTTAACTACATCTTATCCTCCCATAACTACAACTGGACTCAGCAAAGCACATCTATGATAACCAAAATGTTGGCTTGTTACACAAGAGATAAGAGTTAAGCTCTCAGCATTCAAAGTAAACAATCCTCTGACAAGCCAAAGCGCCTGGAAACTACCCAAAAAGTTCCTGCCAGTTTTTGTTGTTGGTTTTTGTTTGTTTTGTTTTTTTTCTTGCTTGTTATGAGTGGATTAACAAGCATTACTCAAGTTGTGTTGGTTCATCAAGTATTTTTAAGGCTATCTGAGGCACTAAAGAGTCACCACAGATTTTTAAACAAGTGACCAATGAGGTATAAGTACACTGGAGTCAAACAGTGCTTGTTGATGTTGCATTTGACAATTGCTCCAAATGGCACCGCTGGAAGAACTTGAGCAAAAAAGTACCTTTCATCAAATTAAACAGTGCAATAGCACTGCATCCTGCTTAATGCTGACTGGGTTTTGGAAACACCACCCCTCCAACCACCTGGCAGCATTCAAGTTTTAACACCTGAGCAATGAAGTCGTGTGAAAGACCAACTTAAAACCAAAAATGAGCCCTCCATCTTGTAACTACCTTTCCAACAGCTGTTGATCCTGCTAGGCCAACCATCACCTTCCCACAGACCAAACCAGCACTCCTCCCAGCTTACACACTCTTGCCTCCCTGCTCTACAGGACTCTGGTTTCTCAGCCCCTCACACTGTGAGGCCCCAAACCAGACCCAGTATTTTAAGCCAGGCCTTCCAAGTGCCAAGTGGAAGAGGTAATAACTTCCCCCAGTCTGCTGGTCACGCTCTTCTCAGTGTAACCCAGTCTGTGGTTTGCCTGCTGCATGATGAGCATACTGTTGGCTCACACTCAATTTCGTATTCAAAGGGGTCGATTTATGATTCATACATACTCTCGGTTTCTTTTAATAATGTAAGTTGAGAGCAAAATACCCAGAGGCTAGAAACTATTAAGTATATTTGAGCAGTGCCTTTAAAAAGTCATAGTAGATAATCAAAATCAGCATGGATAAGCAGAGGATAATATTGAAGGCACTTAAGAGTTCATGACAGAGCCTAACACACATGGGTACAATCAATTGCTCCTTCCAGTCTAAAAACAGTTTGCTTCGAGGTCAGAAAGCAGAGACAGCATTGGTGCAGGAAACTTGGGAAATCTTCCAGCACAACAATCCTTTGCTTGGTAAAACTCCTTTAAGCAGCATTTTAACACTTTCCCTGGCTCAACAATACCAAGAAGCAGAAAGTGGTACCTCATCTACCAGGAAGAGCTGTTCCAGGGCTGCTGCACAAACCAGGGAAGTTTCTGCCCTCGGCACCAGCTCAGACTGAGACTTTCATCCTACGTTTTGTCCTGCCAAATCTCATTTCACTCCACACACGTCTTCTCACAGAAAGGTTGAGACAAGCAACTGCACTACTGGAGATTGTTTAACATGCAAATATGAGGTGCTGACGTGACCGTAGCAGAGACTATACCAAACCAGATAATGTTAAAGGCTACATGAAGAGTCCTATATGTAATACAGTTTAATACATAACTTATTGTATGCTATACCTGAAGGGAAACCTTAGAGTCAGATGCTTTTGCCCAGATCCTGCAGTCCAGACACAGAAAATAAGAGCACGCATGACAAGTACTAAAAAGTTAACACCCTGAACAATTTAGGCAGGATAAGAACCTCAAACAATGGTAAGAGCCATTAAAGTAATGTGAACTCAGATGCTGAAGAGCAGCAAAAAACCAAGACAGAAAAGATTACAGCTGTAATGCTACGATGGGTGGAAAGTACCACGATAATAGCAGGGTGGCAAAGTCTTTGGCTGCAGCAAAGGAGAACAAGCCAAAGTGCAGCAGCTACGGATGCAGAAGTGAAAGAAAAGAGCTGCTTACCTTTGAAAGGCCTAAGGTAGACAAGGATCTCCAGCAAGAGATGCCCACACCTCCACTGCCAACCCTTAAATGGGGCCTGGGAAGAGGTGGATCCTGGCTCCACTCCTTCCAGTCACTCAGCTGCATTGCCTGCACCTGAGCTCCTCTGGGTTGGCCCCACCTTCCCACCAAGTGCTCAATCACTGCTTCAGGCCGTGACTCAGCATTACCACTACAACAGGTGAGCCCAAACATAAATGGCAATTGGAGAAGATAGCTGCACCACAAAGGTTACAAAAATTATTATATTATTTTAAACTTCAACAAAAGACATTCCCAGTACGAAGACAAGCAATAACCCATGCTGACATTGGTCTCTGTCAGTCAATATTTGGAAAAAACACCTCACAAGAGTTACCCCTGCCCTACCAGTATATGACAAGTTACCAGAGCAATCCTGTTTGTGCCTGGACCTCTCCCTTTTGAGAGTCAGCCAGCTGGCTGAAAACCAGCACTGGAATCAGGAGTTACTCAGCAATTTATTAACCAGCCAAATGCTGCAAATTCAATAATCATTTCTTTGGAAGGTACTTTAAATGTAAAGGACCTCAAGCTCGGTTAAAAAAAAAAAAAAAGTTCTTATATTTTTATGCAGATTTTGTGACAGCCTTTCAAGTACATTATGCACTCAGCCACTCCACAGATCTTCACCTTCTCACCATACAAACTAACATCCAAGTGACTGGCACAACAAAATAGTTGGATGGTTCTTAACTTTCTGCTAAGTCTCCATAAGCACAGCTGATTCTTCAGTGCCAATTCTTTAGCCTTCCCAGCCCTGGCATCTATAATAACTTTTATGTCATTCCCATCTTCTTATTTACACACACTAGCACTACTCCGCTGCACAGATCAGTGAAACCAACTGTTTCAGAAGTTATAGCCCTTCTACTGAGAAATGAGACCTTATCAGATGTGTGCCCCTCAGCCATTTCAAGATAAACAAGCGCGATACTTACATTATGCTCTCTCACCACGGGAGAGCTGAAATGAACACCATAAGAAGAGTGCCAGTCCCTGTACCGTTCCTTTCCCATAATCACTAACTGTTCTGTACCTTCAGTTTCTCAATATCAACGACCTTAAATTATCCAAACAGCAGCTGGATTTTGTACCCAACACGAGGGCTTGATGGAAGAAACCCAATGTTTTTGGCCAAATGTTCACGCACAAAAAAAACTCTCAAGATTTGACAGAGCAACTGGGAGACCCGACCGTAGCACCATATGACAGATGCAGTCCTTCTGAATGAAAGCAACAAGACGTGCAGTAACAGATTGAACCCTGCAGTACCTGACTGGAAGACGTATCTCGCTAAGCCTTGCATTAACTCTGCTGGCCACGTAGGTGGAGCCGACTCCCCCGTTTCTCTCTTTAGTCGAAACGTCAACTCAAATCCAAAACCACTTGGTCCGTCTGTTCCCGTAAACCTGCAAGGAGCGAAAAATGAACATATTTTTGTTAGTGAGAACAGTCTACAATATTAGCACTGTTGAAAAAGGCTGAACGTCCTTTTCACGTTCTCTTATTTCAGTCTACGCTACCTCAAATGGCGTAACATGGAGAGTTTAGCAGACGTAATAATTTCAAAGGTAACAACCACAGTAATGTTTTCAGCCAGAATCATGTTGGGAAATGTTAACTTCTTCTGGGTGACAAGTGTGATTTTTAGCAGCCTGATTTTGTTTTTAAAAAAAAGTTGCAAAATTTGCACAGATAGCTGCCCTAATTACACTTGCTTAAATGGGAGCACCAAAGAAAGTACCCAACAGAAAATGTTATTCCATTCTCCTGAACTCAAATTTCTGCATATTCACAAGTGGGCTGCAACCTTATTTTAAAACCAATACGCTTGTACACCTTCTCTTTCTGTATCTAGGAGGACAACAGAGGAAAAGCATTGAACGTGACAACTACAGCTCATAAATCAGGACATTTGGCCATTTCCCCAAGTTGATGGAGGCAGATGTCAGTTTATTTGGTTTGGTCTGACAAGGTCTCCCCAGGAGAATAAATTCATATTAGGAGCATCAGGAAAACAACAAAAAAGGAGCAAATAAAGGATGCTGCATATTACTCTGCTTCAACAAATCTACTCCTTTACAATCCAGTATTTGACATTCCTACATACAGGAAAGATCTAAGTCCCCAGCAGCTAAAACTACTGCGTTTAGTCTGTGAATATGAGAAACTTCATGGACAAACATCTAGGCTCACAAACTCAAAAGCAAGGTAGGGACACCAGTTTTCTTCTTAGCACTGTCACCACACCCCCATCTCATTTGTTGTAAGTGTTCCAAGAAAGCAGATCTGAAAAAGAAAAGGATTTATGCTGGGCATAAAGACACCTCACAGAAACTTTCATAAGCCAGCATTGTTCTACAAACTCAAATCTATTTGTCCAGCATTGGCAAATTCTCTGGAGAAACTCTGTGAATGTCTTGGACACTGGTACCTTGCTGACACACATGGAAGATACAACGCACAAAAGTGTTAACATTGTGCCTCCAGTAAAAGCAGGCAAATGGAGCAGTCAGAAAAGCGATGAGAGCATTTTCCATTTGAAAAACACAGATCACTAGCAGTGCCATGACCGCTTCCAAGTGCTGGGAGGAGCGTTCCAACAGCAACAAGGTTGTTTGGAGCAGACGTGCTTTATAGCAACCCTGACTAACGGCAAGTGCTAAAATCGATCACATTTAAGCATCAATGCACCTCCTTCATGATTCAGTGCGGCTTTAATATGAAGACTCTTCAAGGAAAATTTTGTGGTAGACTTGAAGATAAGGCAAGAAAGTTAAGTAATACACCCAAGGACAGAGCCCAACTGTGAACAGCCCACAGAGATAACTGAACAGCTGTGCCTGGAAGCAAGAGGGCTGGTAGGGAAAGTCAGACACAACAGAAGGGGAAGAAAACAATATAGCGAATAAAGACTTATTTGTGTATATATGCAAGTGTGCTTATTTTTGTTTCTGTGTATATAATCCTCAAAAAAGAATTTGAATTTTACGTACTACAGAAGCAAACGCTCCAAAAATACAGCAGGTAACACATTTTATAGTTGTCATTTGGTACACATAAAACCTCTTTTAGGAAACAAACGTACTTTGAAGCAATAAGCCAAATAATTACATTTGGTTCTACAATAAAACAAGAGCTTACTGAATAACTGGACTGCCAGGGATCTCAGACTGGGATTTGGATGGGCAGCAAAACCTGCGTGCTGCGATCCTGCTTGCAGCTGTGCCAAGAAGATTGGTACAGGGTGGCGATGGCCTTGTAAATTCAAAGCTGTACTTTTTACATTAAGCACCCCTGTTGTGTTTTATTAGTTTCACGTATCGGTTAGCAAAAGAAAAACAAAAGTATTTCATAGGGGGAGAAACAAAAATGCTTCAAAGCGGGTAATATTCAGGGACTGATTCCAGGAAAAAGCATTCACCATAAACTGCAATGCATTATGAATGGGTCAGTTTTTGAAAGGATCAAAGTTAACAAAAAGCCTTCCAGCTGAACTTACACAGTTAATTTTTTTGGAAAGTAAGATGGCTCCCTATTGAATTTCCTCCTTTCAAGGCAAGTTCTGAAACAACACTCTCATTTTGAATAACTTTTGCTTTTGTGTTTTGTTTTGTTTTTTTTAAACTCCACAGATTCCCTGCTTCAGGGGTAGGCAGAAATAACCACTTAACAGAAGACCACACGTGTTTTATATTGATCCATAAGCAAGTTACTGAGTAATAGAGGTGTTCAGGTGGGTTTCCAGCAAATTTAAAGCAAAATGAGCTACGGGAACAAGGCTGGCCAGCAGCACACCAATAACTGCAAAATGGCAACATTGACAGGCAACGTTACTCACACAGATTTTTGTTTTATACACAACACAAGAGCCTTAAAAGAGAAGAACTGCAAGAAGATACATAGAGTAAAAGATAAGTAAATGAACAGTAAGTCAGTTTCCTTCTAAGATCTTAAGAATCCCTGAAGAGTTGGCTTTAAATGTTTTTAGAATGGTCAGTGGTCACAGGCTGTTGACATGACACTGCTTTGTTAGGACGAAATTTCAAATACATGCAATTCTCCTGCATTGTACAGTTGTTCTAAGCAATTCATCAATAAAGCCTTCGATATGAGCCCATTTCAGTTTAGTTATTTGGTTTTGAAAATTTGTGGCAGGCGACTTTAAAAACCTGTGATCATTTAAAGAAAAATCATTTCTGTTTAACTCAGACAAGTCTTCCACAGAATGAAAGAAATATTCACCTTCAGAATGCAGCGAGGGTAGTCAACTTCAGCCAGTGTTTTTTGCCAAAGCTTTTGCTTTTATTCTTCCAAAAAAGTATATTATTTGAAAATTAGTCAAAAAAAGTTCAAACAGCTATCATAAAATCTCTCAGTGAACAACTGTCCATAAATCCTTCAATCCCAGGATCCAGCCACACCATATATGAAGTCAATTTCATGCCCAGCTGCTGACTCTGGGGTCGCCTTTCCTACAGAAGCTCAGTTCAATTACAAAGCAGCCTGGAATAAATCCTGAATTCGCCAGAAGCTGAGACAAGAGGATGGCAGGAATCCAACACGATGGATACTCTAGCAGCCTCAGGTCCCAGAATGCCTTATTATGAGCTAAAGGCCATTAGACGTGCACCTTAAGAGCGGAAGGCCAAGGAAACAGCATTTGATCCCACACAAAGGTAAGAAGACCGTTCCTTCCTATCTGCACAGTGGGCAGCTGCTCTTTCCCCAAATCACCCGTTTTCCTTTTGGTTCAAACCTTACCAACGAGACAAATGGTGCACCCATCCCAGACACAAAACCTACCTGCAGCAGGGGAGCTCATCACGCGAGACCCATAAACCAGTTAATGCACACTAGGACACTGCATCACTTCCACATGGAAATGCAGGACTCCCAGCACTGCCCCTGCTCGCAGGGTATCCCAGGGACGTGCAGGATGTTGAGCAACCACGCTAAAAGGCACTGCATCTTGCAGATGTTCAAACTCAAGCTCCAAACCCCAGCTCCCAGTTTTCACAAAACTTCCAAGAAACTCCATCACTGAGCTTCTTCAGGCAGGCCACCATCAACCAGCAAGCAAAACACAAATTGTTCCTCCAAAAGACAGAGACTGAATAAGCCTCAAGCCCACAGAAAATTGGGGTGAAGGGGGAGAAGATAACCCAAAAAGTAATTAACACTCCTCCCAGCTGTTGTGCACAGTGGTTTTGAATGCACAGCCCTGCAAAACAGTCTCCAGGCATCCTGCTAGGGCACACAGAAGTGAGCAGTGCTCACGGCCCTCCCCATTCACCCAGAGGCACAGCACTCCCTCCTTGTTTCTTCTTTCCAAGCGGACAGGAAAGCACCCATGCTGATCCCAGGTTAGCCTGACCCCAGCTCCTGTGTAAACCCTGCAGGTAATACCTCTTCATTACAGGCTTTGGCTCTACATTGGCAAGCCCTCAGTTCTCTTGTTGCTGGTTTCTCTGTGAACAAGGGACATGGAAACTGGGGGGTTGGTTTTGAAGATTCTTTTCCTTTATTTTGGTTAGGTTCTGTATTTTTATTATTATTGCTTTTCTCCTTCTGAATCTGAAGGTGTCCAGTTCATCCAACAGCCAATTTAAGCTTTGGCTGGAGCTCAGTTCTCCACCCCAACCCTGAAGGGCATCACGCACCGTTTCTTCAGCAATACAGTTTCAATACAATAGTCCCAAAGTGTCTCAGCTCTACAGGAACACCACAGTGCCAAACCAACCAACACACTGACAGCACATGTGCCAGAAAGAAAATTCAAAAAGCATGTTTTGTATCCACACATAGCCCCAGGTACATAAACTGAAAGTTGCAACACAGCATTGAGTTTCTGCGCTAACACATCTGAATATTTCACATAGTTTGCTCTATGCCTGGCTTCTGCTGAGCCCTGCACTTTCGAGTGAAAGGGCTTTGTTGTTTTCTATTTTAAACCATCCCCCAGCACTAAGAGAAAAAAAATCCTCATCTTCCCCCAAAGACACTAAGCACAAGGAGACAGCCTGGGTTGAGTTCTGCCAGCCACTGCTTTGCCCCTCCGACAAGAGAGGGCATCACCTCTACCAACAGCCCAGCTCTGCAGCAGCCATGTGAGTTTTCACAAAAACAAACAGTGATGGAGAAATTCTTGGCTTGCTGCTGCCCACTGGCACCCATCAGATAGTTTTATATTATGGCTACAGTGGTAATGGAAGGCTCTGGTATCTGCCAAGTCAAATCCAACCCTACACTTAATATCAAAACCTTTTTTTGTCACATGAACAAAAACAAACCGTTTGAAAGCCAAAGTCATATGTATTGCACGCCGTTCTTTGGTTTAGAACTCTTTATCTACTCAGCAAATCTACAGAACAGACCCCAGTGCAGTGCTGCACACAGGCTGAAGACG